TAGACGAGGCGGGGGCGAGGCGGCTCGGTAGCTGGCCACCCAGCGCCCAGCATCGGAACAGTTGCGATCAGCGGCGAGGGGCGCGCGATTCAGCTTGCGGGCGCACGTATTAGTTTTGCGTCGTAAGGGATGCGGGAACGACGCGGCGCGATGGCGGGCCGCCGATGCATGTGTTTCGGAACAGTTGCGATAGACGATGAGGGGCGCGCGATTCATCCCGCGGGCGCATTATTTTTGCGTCATAGAAGCGGCGGAAACGATGCTGCGCGGCCGCGGGCCTTCGGTATATAAGTTCCGGTGCAGTTGCGATGGGCGATGAGGGGCGCGCGATTCAGCGCGCGGGCGCAATGCGCAGAGATCGCGGGAATGACTTGGCATGGTAGCGGGTCTGCTGATACATTAGTCTCGGAACAGTTGCGGCAAACGATGAGGGGCGTGCGATTCAGCGCGCGCGGTCGTCAGTGATCTGTCGTAGAAGATGTAGAGAACGATGTGGCATGGTAGCGGGCCGTTGGGACATGAGTTCCAGAGCAGCTGCGATCGCCGATGAGGGGCGTGCGAGTCAGCGCGTGGGCGCAACATATCCGCGTCGTTGAAATTCGGGAACGATGCGGCACGGTAGCCGGTCGTTGATACCGAAGTTTCGGAACAGTTGCGATCGGCGATGAGGGGTGCGTGATGGAGCACGTGGGCTCATTAGCTTTCCGTCGTAGGTTTCAGGAGATGCGGGAACAATTTGACACGGTAGCGGGCCGCTGGTACATGCATTTATTTGGTGTGTGGGCCTGGCGATTCAGCAACCATTCTTCAGCACATTTTTTCGTCGCAGCGCGGCAGAGGCAGTCAACGCGCCGTTCGGGCGGGCCGCGAGACGGCAGGCGGCAACTGCGGGGAAAAATTGGAGGGGGGGGGAGCGGCCGCGGGGCGGGGGCGGGGATGGGTGGCGCTCACGTGGTGGAGGCCGCTGCGGAGCGGCCGGGGCGGCCAGTCGGCGGCGCGCCCCAGGCAGCGGGCGCGGGGCGGCGTCGCGGCCACACCCAGGAGCCATATCCACACCTTCCCGTAAGATTCCGTCGATGCCTGGCAGTAGGTGGGTGCATGCTTCATGTGACAATGTGGGGCGCGTGTGACGGCTTAAGTAGTCGCGCAGCACGATTCTGGACGGATGCATTTGTGTGTGTGTGTGAGAGAGCGGCGGCATAGGTGTTTACCCGACGGCAGCAGCAAAGCATGTTCACTGAAGGATAGCGAGATGCACGCAAAGGCAGTTGTTGCCAAGTGCGACGATCAGCACGGATGGTCCCATCGACCCAACATGTCCACCAAACGCAAGCAGTTCGTGCATACGACATTGGGATTGATTTTCGGGCCTTCGCGCTCGCAGTCGTCCTCCTCGTCATTCCCCCCTGGTTTGGGCATCGGGGTCATGTGTCATAGAAACCACAACTGCCACCATCAGCCGCCCGATCAGTAAACCTCCCTTTTGCTCATCATCGCCGCCCATGTTCTCTCCTGGTCCACTCACGCTCGTGGACCGTTTCCGTTTTGGTTTCGCTTCGGCGCAACAGGGATACTGAGACCATAACGAAAACAACAACAACATGGAAAAACGACGCCGAGAAACATTTTGGAGCAATGCTCCCTGCTCCCTGCTCTCCCTGTTCTGCCCCCTATCTCTCTCTTTCTCTTTTTTGTTGTGTGTGTGTTTTTTGTGTTTGTTCTCTCTCTCTCTCTCCCTCTTTCTCTTTCTCTCTTTTTTTTTTTTCTCTCTCTCTCTCTCTCTCTCTATATATATATATATATATCTCGTTCGCGATGCGCTGACCCCCTGCCCGCCCGTCCTGCCGCTGGAGGCCGAGGCTGCGCCGCGAGGGCCACTGGGGAGCCCCGCGGGCTCCCTTGTGCGAGAGAGCGCGCGCACAACGCCGAACGCGCGCGGGGAACGCACGTCTCGTGCAGCGGCGGAGCGTCCTGGCGCGCCTATAGCTAGGCCGACCGAGGAGAGTTCTAAGAACCTTTTGCGTCGGGGGGCGATCGGCCTCTTACCATGCCGCGTCGATTGGCGAATTGGCCGTTTCCGTTTCGCGAGAGTGCGTCGCGGCCGTCATTTGTGCGGGTCCAGGTCTGTCGGTTTCGGTCCTGGGCCGTTTTCACCAACTGGCTGTTTGCTAAAGGGAAGTGTGTCCACCGCCGATTGTGGTCTGCACGAGAAAGGCTCTTAGAACATTTCTGGCTCTGTGTGTCTTCTTTGAACACACATCGGGCTGATGTTACCAAAAACCTTGTTTTTGCTATCGGAACACGTTTGGGTTCTGAGGACCTTTCGTGGTAGTCTTAAATCGGGCGTGTCCCTCTACAGGGGGCAGGGGAAATCTTCAAACATAGTCAAAACAAAACCGTATGGGGACGATTTTGATTTAAACTATCTTTCTGGTATGTTCGACTATCTCCGACCACTTTTGCACTCTTCGTCCAAGCGCCGCCTACAGGGGGACATGTCCGACCCCATGGTAGGCCCGTTAGGGGTGCGGGGACGGCCGGTCCCTGCTCAAACGCCCGATCGATGCCGGGCCTCGCGCGCGCGCTCCGCCCGACCCCCTGCTCGGGCCCCTGGCCAGGAGGGCACGCACTGCTCTTCACAGAACGGAGTGACGGGGCGAAGCGCGCCGGCGCACCAGGCGCCCAAGGGGTCTTGTGTTAGGTCGGGCACGTCCCCCTACAGGGAAGCAGAAACACGCCCCCAAAATACATTTGTCGGTAGCCGAACGAGGTCGTTCCCAGACTATTTCTCCCACTCTTCCCCCCCCCCACCCTCCCCCGGTTGGGGATACTCCCCAAAATATTTGTCAGTAGCCGAACGATGCTCAAAAGTCGTCCCCAGACTATTTGTCCCACTCTTCCCCCCCCCCCGTTGAGGAGAGGGAGGGTCGAGAGGCCACGCCCCCCCTTCCCCCCCCCCAGGTTTGGGGGGGCTCGAGAGGCCACGCCGCCTCCTCCCGCGCCTCGCGAGGGCCCCCGGGGGGGCAGAGGCGGCAGCCGGCGCTCCCTGGGGGGCCCCCTAAGCGGGGTGGTGACCACACCGTGCGGTTCGACACGAACGAAATGGGTACCGACGCTACTTCAGCGCTCGTCGACGCCAGATCAGTGTTTGCGGGCAAAACTTGTGTCCATATCCACTGCAGCTTGATGTTTCGGGCTCCCTTCCCCAGAAAGCCGAGGAGCACTGGATATGGATAAAAATCAGGCCCCTACCAGAGGTTCGACTTTTATCCATGTCCAGTGCGCCTCGGCCTTGCGGCACCCCTTCCACGAAAGTCCACGTCGCCCTGGATATGGATATAGATATTGCCCGTGGTGTTCTCTCATCGGTTGCCAGACGCTTGTCTGCGCGCTGGTGCGTTCTAAACTCGGAATCTCGAGGACATGCCAGGCTCCCGTGAGTTCCTGCCGGACCCTTCCTTCCCCTCCCCGGACCTCCCCTTGCCGTGAACAACGATCGGCACGAGCGAAATGGGTACGGAAAGAACGGGTACGATGCCCAACAGCAGTTCCTGCTCATGTTGAACAGGGCTCGCTGTCCGCGCCGCCGCGGCCTGTGTCCACTTGAGACAGAAGGCCGCCTGCCCAACAGCGGCCGCTGATGGCTTGGGACAACATCTGCTGTTGGGCATTGTGCCCATTTTTCCCGTACCCAATTCGGGCGTCCAAAGTGGTGAGTCGGTGGGGATTCGGGGTCACCGCACGGTTTTGAGACTCGGGTCGTGCTCCGAGGGCGTCTCGGGCGATTGGGGGCCTTCAGGGTCCCAAGACCGTGCGGTGGCGGAGCGTGCGGTGAGGTCTCTCTTGGGGTCCCGAGGTCACCGCACGGTCTGTCACCACACGGTTTTGGGATCCCCAAGTTCCCGGCCATCCATGTGCTGAGGCCACTCCCCCTTTCTCGAGCAGTGGCGGAGCGTCCTGGCTGGCCTGATAGGCCCGCTGAAAGGATGTTCTAAGGACCTTCCGTGGTCTGCACGGCATGTCATTGGAACGTTTCTGGCCGAGGTTGTCTTGTTTCAGCACGTCGGACTTCTGTTCTAAGGATATTGCTGTGGCTCTGAGAACATTTTTAGGTTCCAAGAGCACGTCGTGGTAGGCTTATAGGAATGCCGGGACGGTCGGTCTCTGCTCAACCTTTCGTCTTCCCTGCTGGTGTCTTTCCCTCTCTTTCCCCTTGTGCTGGGCCTCCTGGGAGGCGCAGGAGGGTTAAATGCACACACACACACATACACACACACACCTACACACACACACACTCAACACGCAGTGAACGGTCGACCCCCTAGAAATTATGGGAAAATTAGGGGAAGCCAAGGGGACGACGAACATCGAGAAGATATGGACAAGTACAGGGAATCCTGGGATCTGTGCTCCTTTCTTTCTGTGCCCCTGGGGCCCCAGGCCTTCTCAGCAGGCGGCGGGGCTCCTCAGAAGGCCTCCAGCCTTCGGAGGGGTCCTCTGTGCCTTCGGGGAAGGCTCCGGAAACTTCCCAGTCGGCTGGGGGACCTCTGAGCCCTCTGAGATCTGCACGAACGAAATGGGTACGGAAAGAATGGGTACGATGCCCAACAGCAGTTCTTATTTGTTTTGAACAGGGCTCGCTGTCCGCTCCGCCGCGCGCGGCCAGTGTACACTTGAGACAGAAGGCCGCCTAGCCAACAGCGGCCGCTGATGGTTTGGGACAACATTTGCTGTTGGGCACTGTGCCCATTCCTTCCGTCCCCATTTCGGGCGTCCAAATGAGAGGGCCCGCACCTCCTCACTTCCCCCCCAGGCCCGCCGCCGAGTCCTCCTCGTGTCAAGTCGGGCCCGTCCCTCTACAGGGGGAATATCCACAAATAGTCAAAAATAGTCTGGGGACTATTTTGGGGGTATGTTTGGCCATCTTTGGGGTATTTTGTTTTTTTATCTTTCGTCCAAAATCCCCCTGTAGCAGTGGCACTACCGAGGCTGACGTCACGAGGCCGCCGCAGGCCTCTTCCCTGCCCGGTGCCCATCGGCACGCCCGCCGCGCGCGCGCGCGTCGCGGGCATGACCCGCCCGCCGCCCCTCGGCGCGGCCCTCGGCGCCGAGGCCTGCTCGGGGGCGTTGGGGGGGGGGTCAGGAGGGAAAAAACACACAGACACGATGAATCGTCGATTCCCCAGAAAACATTGGAAAATATGGGAAGTGGGGGGGAAGACAAACACCCAGAAAATATAGAAAGATGTGGGGATCCTGCTATCTGTGTGTATTTATTTGTGTGTCCCAGGGCCCCTTCAGGTAAGCCAGGCGGCGACGTGAGCCTGGCACGTGCCGAGGCTCGAAGGACGGCAGGCTCTCGAGGGTGTAAAGAGCGCCCCTGCCCTGGTTTACGAGGCGCCGTGCGCTGAGCCTCCTGTGGGCTGTCGGGGTAAACCCTGCGTATTGCGCGTGTCGCGCCGTCCGGGCGGCTCTCTGGCCTTTGGGGGCTCCCAGGAGGTTTATAGACCACGCACTTGCAACCCAAGGCTAAGACGCCCAGGGTTCGAGGAACAGATACCGATGCTGCTGCTCGTCCTGAAGAGTTCTCGTCACCACGGCTGGATTCTCTTCGAGATTCTGGTCAGAACGCACCCCAGGAGAGGTCCGGAGAGTAGCGGTACCGGTTTCTCTTTTAGTCAAAGACCTTTCTGAAACCCTCCGGGAACCGAAAAGCCTCCCGGAACCCTCCGGGGTTCTGTCGTTTTGGGGAAACCAGCCATTGGCGAACCATAGAATTTCTCACGATAGGCTGCATTCAAGCACGCGTGAACGCCCTCGCTTTGACCGTAGGTGGGGCTGTTTACGGGAGCACGAAACGAGTGCGGGGTGTGCAGACATGGGCGGGACGGCTCATGTGAACGCCCGCGCTGATGCCGCAGACGGAGCTCCCCATGGGGTCACGAAAGGTGCTCTACGGGTGTGCGGGGTTTGCGGGGCGTGCTGGAGTGAGTCAGGCGGCACATGCGAACGCCTTCAGTGGCCGTAGGTGGAGTTCCCAGTGGTGGCACCCAGCGTGCGAGAGGTGTACTGATTTGGGCGGGGGGGTCGCATCTGCAGAAATCCACGCGGGCTTCTTGGATCAGTGTTGGATCGTTGCGTGAGATCCGACTCCGAACCCAAACACAAGGGTCTGTTTTGCAGTCCTGGCGGCATTTGAGCACGCATTTGCAGAGATCCGCGAGGGATTATTGGGTCGGCGTTGGATCGTTGCGTGATATCTGGACCCGAACCCACAAGCCTCCGGATGCCCCTTCCCAGTCCCCCCCCCGCTCTGCGATGTAGACTTGGCTCATGTTTAGCTATATAGCGGCAGAGAAGTTGCCAATGTTCGTCCAGAATGGGCACTTATGTTTTTGTTAATGGTTAGGGATCGATGGCCACGCCACCGCTGAACCCTCGTTGGGTGGCTCTAAAGTTGGAGGAGCCTCTTTCGTCCGTGAAGCCCAGACCAGAGAGCTGCACTCCATAGTTTAGTTTCTTCGCGATGCCGCTATCCCTCACTGGTGCACTCTGGCGAGCGTGGGCGCACCTCCGACGACCGCCTCGGCGGGCAGCTGCTGCCGGTGCCGGCAGACCGGGGCGCTGGCAGTTGGCGCAGGGCGGAGGGCGAAGCCGACGCCTCGATCGACGGGCCCAACCCTCGAGAGCACCGGGCAAGGGCCGTGGATCAGGTCGAGACCCAGACTCGGGTATAGCCAGGACCCCAGGTAAGGGGGCCCGATTAGTACTAGGGCCCTGGAGCCCCTAAATTTGCCAGGATCACTAAACCAGGTCTGCCTTAGCTGGTGTTTTTTTTTGCGGGTGACGGCAGCTCCGGTTAGTGGAACGGGCGGGGGGGTGGGGGGGGCGTCCCCCAGTACACACCACTAAGCCAGGTTCCACTAAACCCAGTTGTGCCAACGCCCGACAGACATGCGACGATCATATCTGGGGAAGCAGCTGCAGGAGCAGCAGCGGCGCCACTGGCAGCCGAGCGCGAGGCACCTGCGCTCGGCTGCCAGTGGCGCCGCTCTCGGCGACGAGGCAGCCAGCGGAGGCCCAGCCGAACACCGCGGAGCAGCAGGAGGCGAGCGACGAAGAGTTGGCCACTGATGGGGCGTGCCGCGTGCAGCACGCGCGCGCGCGCGAGCTGAAGCGCCGCGCCGAGCAGGCGCTGGGCGCTGGCAAGGACGCCTCCGAGGCGGAATGCCAGGGAGGTCGAGAGGGTGGCCGACGTGGCGGAGCACGCGCAGAGGCGGCTGCAGCAAGCGGCGCAGGCAGGTGCGCCCGAGGCGAACGTGGGCGCTGGCGACCCAAGCCTGCGCAGGAGGCCGTGGCGGATCTCCAGGAGGAACGGGGGGAGTGAAGGAGGCGGAGGAAGGAGGGGGGGGGAACGAGGGGCGGAGGGATCGATGGGGAAGGCGGCCCGCGACGAGCCGAACGCCACGCCAGCCGCAGCTGCTCCGCTGCAGCCGCCCCCGAAGGAGGAGAAGGGGGAGGAAGAGACGGCGGCCCCCGAGCGGCCACTCACGTCCGTGAGCGCCAGCAGCTCCGAGGACGACTCGCGCAAGCGGTCGCCAGGAGCGGCCTCGGGAGATAGCAGCGCAGCATGTGCGCCGCCTGGCGGTCCAGGGGGGGCGCGAGGCTTCGACCAAGCCGTGCTTGATTTCTCGCTTGATGTCCGCGTTCGGCCCGAGGCGACCGTAGCGGAAAACGGCACCAACCTTTTGTTGCAGTGCTGCGACGAAGCGGCGAAGAGGCTGGGGGGCACACGTGCATTGTCAGGGGTCGACATAGCCATTCCGCATCTCATAGCAGAAGCGCTCATTGTGTCAAATACAACAAAACATAACAAAACGTGCGTGTCGGCCTTCTGTTTAGGCCTGGCATGCCCGCGGTGCTGGACAAGCTGCTGGAACACGTTTTGGCGACACGCCTGAACGAGAAGGACACACACGGCTGGGCGCCTTCCAGAACAAGACGGCCGAGACGGACATATGCGACATGATGCGCATGCTGCTGTATGCCCGCGATGACTCAGGCATCAAATGCAACCGCGGCGCCACTGCCCTCTTCAAGGCCGCGAGCACCGCGGCGACAAGCCAGATTCGCGTCCTCATGACCTACGGGGCAAACCCAAACTTGTCCAACGACGAGGGGGCCACGCCCGTGGACGCTACCTGGGCCAACAACGTGTGCAGGGAGCTTCTCTTGTCCAAGGGCGGCCAGAAAGGGAGCGGCGTCACTGGCGCAGGGAGGCCTTGTTGGCTCTAAGGGAGGACGCCACTGGAGGGGGTCCCTGAAGGTCCTGGGTCCTAGGCGGGGAGAGGGGAGGGCCATAGGGGGCTCGTGGGGCGGCGCGAAGCCTGAATCCTGTCGGAGAGGTGGAGGCGGCGCAAAGCCTGAGATTTCGCAGAACTTCTGGCCCCGAAGGCTGCGGCCTCGGAAAGACGACCCTGGCCAAGAGCAGCCGTTCAGCCAGGCTTATGTTGACCGCTGGAACCATGCGGAGGGGAAGATGGACGACCCCAGCAGCAGCAGCCAGGGCAAGGGCAACGACGACGGCGGGGCGGCGCGGCATGGCGGCAAGGGCAGCGACGCCAACAGGGGCAAGCGCTGAAGGGCGCGCTGCAGGGCATTTTTTGGCGATCGGCCTGGGTTGCCCGCCTTCTGCGAGAAGCCTAGCCTGTTCGCTCGCGCAGATCCGCGTCGCGCCTCCTTTCAGCGGAGAGGGAGGGGAGAGGAGGAGGACCGGGCATGGCGGGAGAGAGGCGAAGCGCGGCGGTTTCGGTGGAGCCAGAGCCAGGGCGGTTTGCGCCCAGGTAAGAGCCATTTCGGGGCCCGTTGTGCGCCCCGCTCAGAAGCGACTTCGGTGCCCGCTCGTCGCCGCGAGAGACAGAACGCCCTCCTCCGCCCTCATGCTCTTCCCAACACCTCCCCCCCGCGCCCCATCCCGCGTAAATCCCTCCCTTTCCATTTCTCTGCCTTCTCCCTCCGTTCCTGTCTCATCCGCCTCTTTCGCCCCTTCTGTGTGTCCTTCATCCTTTCGTGTGTCTCTTCCTCCCTCGCTCCTTTCTGGCGCCACCCCCCCTCCAGCCCAGAGTTTTTTTCTCCCACCCCGAGGGAAAAGAAGGTTCCGAGGGTCATGCTCGAAGTTTGGCTTCCGAAGTTCGAATCTAGTATCTGCCACATCGAATTTGGAATCTCGAATTTCAACCTTCGGATTCGATTTTGCGAAGTGCGTGGGGGCAGGAGAGCGGGAGGCCCGCCTATATCGAAGTTTTGTTGGCTCGCCGCCTGGGCTGGAGCTCTCGGCGAGACCAGCGGGGGGGCGGCGTGCGCAGCGGTGGCCCATGCCGAGCGCGTCCGGGCGCGAAGGAGCAGAAGAGGCCGAAGGACATCGAGATGATCGAGAAGGACCAACAGAAGAAGGACGACCTGAGTCGCAGCTCAAAAGCGACACCGTGCAAAAGAAACTAGGGGAGCACGGCCTCATCACGGATGCCCTGCTCGACGACCGCGTTCAGGCCGACACCGCGATCACGCGACGGGCGCTCCAGCTCGGCCCCACGACGGCGATAGGTTACTGCCTCACGCCCGCAGTTGGGGGCTTTTCTGCTCGATCCGATGGCATCGCGTCCCGGGGAGGGGGTCAGCTCTGACGTGGGCCCGACGCGGGGGGCCCCGTCCTGCCCTCGGCGGACAGTTGCCGCCCCCATCGCCTGCTCGTGGAGCGCGCCTGCAGCAACGGCGGGCTCTCCACGGCGATCGTTTTCCGATTCGTTGTTTTGCCGGTCGGCGCAGGCCCTTCGCACCCCCTCCCCCCCCTCCTCCCCCTCCTGGAATGGATCTTGCTTGCTTTTGGCTCCTGTTCGGAGCAGGTGGAGCCTCCCCTCATGGGACGCACTGCGGCAAGCAGTCGCGCTAAGCAGAGGTCCCAAGCCAGACCCCCCCCCTCCCTTCTCCTCCCCTCCCTCCCCTCCCCTCTCCCCCCTCCCCTCTCCCCTCTCCCCCCTCCGCTCCCCTCCCTTCTCCCCCCCCTTCCACCCAGTGTCGAAAAGCCGGATAAGCAAACGTTGGGCATCTGTACC